ACTTTCCCAATAATGCTAACTTAGAACATTTTAGCTCTGTTTTGCTATCTCCTATTTTTGTTTAATTATTGTCATATATTTTAAGTTTCCTTATATTTAAACTCTTTGAATATTATTGTTTTGTATAGTCAATATTTCTTCACACATTTAACCTTTCTGTTGTGCTTCATTTCTTTCTGCATTTCTATATGGAATCATTTTTCCTCTGCCTGAAAAACTCCCTATGTCATTTTTTATTTTGGAGACAAAGATTTCTATGTTGGTAGTTATTTTCTTTCAGCACTTTAAACATGTTATACCATTGCTTTAGGCCTTATGTGATTTCTATTGAGAAGTAAGTTGTCATACTTATTGTTTCTCTTTTGAAAGCAATTATTATTATTTGGTCTTTGTATTTTATGTGTCAAGAGTGTGGTTTTCTTTTTTTATTAATTTTTATTCATTCAACATTGCTTTACAATGTTGTGTTAGTTTCTGCTTTACAGCAAAGTGAATCAGCTATACGTATACATATATCCCCTCTTTTTTCGATTTCCTTCCCATTTAGGTCATCATAGAGCATTGAGTAGAGTTCCCTGTGCTATACAGTATGTTCTGAGTTATCTATTTTATACATAGTAGTGTATATATGTCAATCCCAATCTCCCAATTCACCCCACCCCACCCCTTTCCCTGCTTGGTGTCCATATGTTTGTTCTCTACGTCTATATTTCTGCTTTGCAAATAAGTTCATGTGTACCATTTTTCTAGATTCCACATAAGTGACATTATACAATATTTATTTTTCTCTTTCTGACTTACTTCACTCGGTATGACAGTCTCTAGGTGCATCTATGTCCCTGCAAATGGCACAATTTTGTTCCTTTTTATGGCTGAGTAATATTCCATTGTATATATGTACCACAACTTCTTTATCCATTCCTCTGTTGATGGACATTTAGGTTGCTTCCATGTCCTGGCTATTGTAAATAGTGCTGCAATGAACATTGGGGTGCATGTATATTTTCAAATTATGGTTTTCTCTGGGTATATGCCCAGGAGTAGGATTGCTGGGTGATATGGTATGTTTACTTGATTGAGGTTTGCAGAGCCTTTGAATCTCTGGATTGATGTCTTTCATCAATTTTAAACAATTCTTGACTATTAAATGTTCATATATTTCTTTTACATTCTGTCCTGTTTGTCTTTCTGGGACGCTAATAAATAAGTATGTTACACCTATGCCCCATACCCCCAGCATGTCTTATAAGCCCTCTGTATTATGTCTCCTTTTTCTCTTTGTGCTTCAGTTAGGTATTTTCTACAGAGCTATCTTTCAATTCACAAAATTTTTTTTCAACTGTTTCAATTGTTATTAAATCATTCTATTGAGTTCTTAATTTCAGATATTCTGTTTTTCAGTTCTAGAGTGGCTATTTCATTATTTCTTATGATTTCACTTCTCAGGAGGAAGTCTCCATGATTTAAAGCATTGTTTTCAAAAAATTTTCCCCTATGTTTTCTTTTTTTTACATTAAAAATTGATTATCTATATATTTCTCTGCAGAGAGAGTAGGACATAAGTTATACATGAGCAAAAATTAGTAAGAGAAAACAATATAAAATATAGAAAATCAACAAAGCTAAAAGGTGGTTCTTGGAAATTTCTAGTATGTTTTATAACTCCTTGGCATAACTGATCAAGAAACAATGAAAGAAGGCACAGAATTCTAATATCAAGAATAAAAAAAGGGTTGACATTACATATCATACAGATATTATCAACAAAATAATATAAATGTATGATATTTATTTTGAACATTTGATGTAATGGAACAGAAAAATAGAAAAAACTAATTGTACAATATCTATAGTTAGTCTTCTCACATAGAAAATCTAGGATTAGATGACTTGCTATAAGAATTCTACCAACCAATTAAGGAAGAATTTTTGAATCTTAAAGGAATTGTTTGAATATTTCCTTTGAATATTTGAGCAGGAATATTTCCCAACTCAGTTTATGATGCTAGCAAAATTCTAATTCCCAAATCTGACAAATATATTTGAATAAATGGAAAAAAATCCTGTTCCATCTCTTTTACAAGCATAGATACAAAATCCTAAACAAAATATTGCCAACATTAATCGGTGGTTTGTGGAAAGGGAAAAATCACTATCAGTTTGTATTTATTGCAAGAACACACGGTCAGTTTAACGTTTAAATATATGACAAAAAAATTTACTATATTAATATTTGGTTCTTCCTCTCAAAGTTGGGACATGCTTATTCATCCCGTCTTTTAAAATAGTTGTCGTAAATTTACATTCCCATATTTCATTATGAATTTCACAATCAAAATACTTTTGCTTATCTTGTTAAAAATCTCAGTCATATAACTGTCCTGATCAATTTTTTCTTGAAAACTATTTCAGTTGCAACAAATAAAGGAAAAAAACTGTTAATTTTTCTTCTCATTTATATATTTTGAGTAATATAAAACCAACAATCCACTCACAGTTTTAGTGGGCATAAACTCCCAGCCAGAGGTTACATTTCCCAAAAGTCTTTGAAGCTGCATGTGGCAATTTGACTAACTTTTGGCTATTCAAAGATGAGTAGAAGTGATGTGTGCAACATTCTGCTCACACTATTTTAAAAATAAAGTTGATTTCCCTTCACTTTTTCTTTTGCCCTTCTTACAGGCTAGAGCAATGATTGATATGGCCATAGTGTCAAAGCTGACCATGTTGATGAGGACAATACCAAGGGTAGGGAGAGGGAGTAGGAAAGAAACAAGATAGAATAAACCTAGTTTCTTTCACGGCATTTTAGATCTGAGCAGCCTGCTCACCCTATGTTTTCTTGAACAAATTAATCATAGTTATTTTAAAGTTCTGTCTGCCAACTCCAGTATCTGGATCACCTATGGGTCTGTTGTTATTTTATGTGATTTTTTCTCTTGATATTTGATCATGCAGGTCTGTCTTTTGGCATGTCCCATAATTTTTAATAGAGTGCTAGATATTGTATATAATACAGAGACTTTAATAGTGTTATCTTCTGCTAGAGGGATTTCATACTTTTCTCTGCAAAGCAGGTAGAAGTCAAAGGAGATCACCTTAATTTAATCATGATTGTGGCTATTACAGTTTTTCTAGGGCTTAGTTTAGCTCTTTTTTGTTCATTTTTATAAAGTATTGTTCTCTGGGGATTTCAACTGTGACCCTGACCATGTTTAACCATCCCCACCCCCGTGTTCTGAACTGTAATCTTTAATGACTCTGTGTCTCAGAGTTTTAACTTAGAGTTTTAGTGTCACCTTGCTCCCCACCCCTTTGCAAACATCTTGATAGGGAAACAGACCATGTATTTTGAGGCTCCTCAAATCTGCAATTTTGTTATGTGGCCCAACAAGACCACAACAAGCTTATTTTCCAGCTCCTTAATGGCAGCCTTCTGCCAGATCTAAACCCAGATTCTTTCTCTGTTGCCTGTTTATCAGCAAATGTCCCAGGAAAAAAGCATCTGCAGATTGATCGCTAAACTTTCAGAGGTTCTATCCTCTTCAGAATCTTAGCCCCACCTTGTCTGTACTGGCAGTTCATAGAGTTGGAAGCATTCATAGCCCTATGAAGACTTTAAAAATAGAATTTTGTATTTTATCTGGATTTATAACAAATCATATTTATAACAAAGAAAAAATATGGATTTCATTTTGTTATATTTTATATGGATTTATTTGGTTAAAATGTGGTCTTATGCAAACTACTCATTCCCTCTAAAGCCAAAGTCATGTCTTGAGCTTGTTAATTTCTACTACTAAACAGTAAAAATTGTAAAATGCTTTTGAACTTATTTCATAATTTCTAATACCATGTACATGATAATAAAATTATTATGCAAGTAAATTATTTTTCAGCTTCAATAAATTTAAAAATCACATGAAGTAATAATGATGGCTCAGATGCTCTATATTTGAAGGATTTCACATTTCTACATGATGTGAAACCGTGATTTTTCTGTTTGTGAAAGTGATAGAATCTACCTATTTTCTTTTGAGTGGCTATGTAGCAATAAAACATGAGGAAAAGAGAAGTACCAACTTCAGCATTTAGGGTAGTGAAGCATATAGTTTCAAAGATACAGTATGTGAGAGATGAATTTTTTAGTAGATCAATGTTCCTGAAAAAAAGAACAAAGAAAGAAATACCTAGCTATTCTTCTAGGTGTTAAATCCTGAAGTATTAAATATGAATATCAAAGTCTGAAATAAAAACAGTGAAGTGTATAAAAATGGGAAAATAAATCCTCATCCTTTTTGTATATATAAAGAATGTTACTGCTGGTTATATGGTTTAAATTATTAAATGAATACAAATGGCTAAATTGTATAATAAATCAGAAGGAGTATAATATCACAAGGATTAACTAATTGCTAATTAAATTTTTAGATTATCAGCTTCCTCTAGCCTATTAATTTGCATCTTCACTGCATATAAGGAATTATGTTTAAGAGAGTGTGGATCATTTTGCTTAGAAAATTTATTAATCCAGGATTGCCACATAATCAATTTAAATAGTTATTGTTAATATATTTCTATTTCATGTATTAATAATTAGTTATTAACAAATAATACTGTATAATTGACCAAATATCTTATATATTTTTGATATTACAACCTGCTAGTTATGAATCAGGACAAGAATTGTTTCTGAATTTGACATTAGAGTATAGCTAATAACTTGCCCCTAATATGTTTAAATAATGTATGCAGATCCATCTTACTTTCGTAGAGGTTCATGTAATCAACCCTTTTCCCATTTTAATATCTCACTGATTTAACGTCTTTTACTATATTCCATTTAAAAGTTTTTTAAAATAAATATATGTATATCTCTATTTAGTGACAGAGCCATATTAATGAGCTTATTGTAAATTTATTAATCATGACCTTTGTATTGATAAAAATAAAATAAGTGATATACTTCTTCTTTCAAAATTTTTTTTTTTAATTCACAGGCCTGTGAAATTTCTGATGAACTACCTAACTTGACTAATTGATATGCTGCTTTCTCGTCAAGAACAGAAAGAACTACTAAAGTATCAGATATGGTAAGAAGGCTTTTCTATGACCACATGTATTTGTAATCTAGGAATCATGGGGGAGACTGAATAACATAACCATTATATTAGGACCTGAGAGAGGTACCTGGTAGCCTGCTGTAATATCTTCAGCTAGTATGCTACTTCCATATTTTTAAAGTTCAATGAAATTCTTGAAGCTAAGCAGAAGTCTAGCATTTCTCTGTGAGAAAAATTTTATGTGGAACATCTCCTTAAGGGTCAGAGAGCATTCATTAGGCCATATAGACAAACTCAACTTGTGTTGTATATGAAGTGGAAGGTTTGTTTACTTTAGGTTCAACTCAGTTTCCTCATAAGTGCAAATATTTTCCCTTTTCAGTTTGAATCTATCTTGAGACTTAAGACTTTTCAGTGACATTTTTTATCCCTGTTAATCTGTATTTTAAATTGTGTTGATAAGAATTTTGCTACCTCAATTTCCATTTTTTATCAATAACTAATATTGAATAAATTGAAATAAGTAAAGCATGTGAAATTTAAAACTGTATACTTAACTATTTCATTCAGATTAAACTTATTAAAAGATCAAAGTGAAATTTAAAGATAAAAGGTTAGACTTATGTGTACAGGTATTGTTAAAATAAATTTTTATAGAAATTGGACTGTTATTATAAGATATTGTTAGTAACAAATGACCAAAACAGGATCATTAACCAGGTCGTAAAATGTATCCAGTCAACCGAGAAGCAGAATTGCTGAACTAAAATTCTACTAGGTACACAATGCCAAGAGTTCATTTACAGTGTTTTCAATGGTGAAGTACATGGTACAAGATTAGGAAGAACTCATGTAAATGAAGTACAAATGCAGTGCTAGTTAAGTTAATACAGCTGTGAATGTCTAGGAACTCATAGGAATTAGATTAATTTGATGAGAGTCATTAAGGAAGGGACTTATTTTTTTTCTGAGACATTAATTGACTGAATCTGAGAGATGGAGTCAAAATTAGCATCAGGTTCTATGAGACGTTTTGTAGCTATAAGTTCAAAAGATAGTTTAGAATCATCTAGCAGTGTCTTGACATTTAAGAGATTTTCATAATTGTTAAATAAATGTGTTGTTTTAGTAGATTATTTATTAATCTTGAGGAATTTTAGGGTTGTGTTGTGTTTCTCAAGTGAATCATTGTTATACACACCTTTGGATCCATGTTGAAGTATGTCATAAGTAATTTATTACTAATATAACGCTTATTTCTCTTGTAATATAGTAGCTACTAGGAAAAAACAATGCAAATTTCTGAAGGTACCCATAGGAATGCACATGTATAAGTTACACTTTATGTTTGTAGTGAAAAAAGATGATAGAGATCTGTTCTAAAGGAAGATGAGTTGCCTACCAATTGTTTTTACCTAACTTACATTTTCCTCTTTTATCTTTGTCTGTCACTGCATCTGGAAATTCCTTTTTATTATTTATTTATTTATTATAATTTGTATTGGGGTATAGTTGATTTACAATGTTGTGTTAGTTTCAGGTGTACAGCAAAGTGAGTCTGTTATACATATAGGTATATCCACTCTTTTTTAGATTCTTTTCCCATATAGGCCATTACAGAGTATTGAGTAGAGTTCCCTGTGCTATACAGTAGGTTCTTATTAGTTATCTATTTTATATTTAGTAGTGTGTATGTGTCAATCCCAATCTTCCAATTTGTCCCTCCCACCCCACATACCCTCTGGTAACCATAAGTTTATTTTTTACATCTGTAACTCTATTTCTGCTTTGTAGATAAGTTCATTTGTAGCCTTTTTTTAGATTCCACATATAAGCAATATCATATGATATTTGTCTTTCTCTGTCTGACTTCACTTAGTATGATAATCTCTAGGTCCATCCATGTTGCTGCAAATGGCATTATTTCACTCTTTTATTGGCTGAGTAATATTCCATTGTATATATGTACCACATCTTCTTTATCCATTCCTCTGTTGATGGACACGTCTTGGCTTCCATGTCTTGGCTATTGTGAATAGAGCTGCAGTAAACATTGGGGTGCATGTATCTTTTTGGATTATGGCTTTCTCTGGATGTATGCCCAGTAGTGGAATTCCTGGATCATATGGTAGCTCTATGTTTAGTTGTTTAAGGAACCTCCATACTGTTCTCCATAGTGGCTGTAGCAGTTTACATTCCCACCGAAAGTGTAGGAGGGTTCCCTTTTCTCCACACCCTCTCCAGCATTTATTGTTTGTAGATTTTTTGATAGCATTGTCCTTTTTTCCCCTCAAGAAACACTTGCATTTAAAAGGATTGGTTGGTACTCAGCTTACCCAAGAAGCGAAATAGTTTAGTCACATAGAACTCTTTGGTTTTTGAATCCCTTCCATAAATGAGAATACCCTTCAAACATGTGAGTGTATGATATGTATCTAGTGAAAAATTCAAATTATTGATCTCAAACTTTTAAAATAATGGAATTAATTTTATAATTTTCACATCAAATAAAAATATTAGAAAATTTACCTCCTATATATTTACATTTTATATATATGGACATGCTGCAATCTTGAAGGAGGGCATATAGTTTAATTTTCAACATGTTACATAAAAGTTTTACATAAAAATATTTAAAAATCCAGACTTCTGTTTCATGTGAAAGACAGAGCATATATATACATCTCCCTTCTTTTTACAAGGTCCCAATGAAATAACTTTTTTAAAAACTATGATATAAGGATTAGTTGAATATAAAAAGACAAAGAGATTGAAAATATTAATGGAGGCTAGACACAAGCCAAACATCTGATTATTAGGCATTCCAGGAGCAGAATGCTAGGATGGTAGTTTGCAGTATTTGCTGTAAAAAACAGTAAGTTATCTTGAACAGAAAAAAACACATGTCTTCAATTAGAAGAGCTCAACAAAATACCATAGAGGACAAATTTTCAAAGATATGTATTCTTCTCACATTCTTTTGTGTTTTCAGAAGACTAGAAATAAAGAAAATACCCTTGAAGCTTCCACAGAGAAAAGTAACTGGGTCACCTACAATGGGATGAGAAACATACTGATATCAACACTTTCTCAGCAGCATTAGAGACATTTCAGAACTAGGAAATGGTAGGATAATATTTTCTAAAATTTCTAAGAGGAAATAATTTTGGGTAAAGAATTCTGCCTCTACCCAAAATTTCAATTAAATGAATCAAGAAAATAATTTTCTGACATGCAAGAGCTTGGAAAGTTTAGTACCTTCACAACCCCATATGTGAAGATGCTCTAGCAAAAAAAAAAAAAAAAGGAAATAAGAAAAAGGTGACATAAACATATAAACATAGAGGATAGAAACTCAGCATTTCTGGATGAAGTAGAGAAAAGTGGAAACAAATTAATAAAGAAGGCATTTTTAGTTCATGCTTGGGACATTCTTCAAGAGTCAGGGGTTTTGTGACCACAGAATTTTATTTACTCCTCTATGTGTTTCACTGCACTAGTTGGTTCAGTGGGGAATAATCATGATATTCTAAATGCTATTTTAATATTGTTGATTTGAAATCAATCTATACACATTGCAGAAGATTTAATTATAGTACAACAATATAAATATTAGAAATCTTAATATCATTAATAAAATCAGGAGGTGAAAGGTAGGAGGCAGTGAAATATGGCAATTCTCTTATTTCATAGTGCAGAGTTAACAGATATTGTCAAAAATTGACAAATTACAGTATAAGTCCTTATATTAAATTTGTAATGGTAAATACAAAAAAACCCCACACACCTCAAACTGAAAAATCTCAATTACTATTAAAATAAATTATTTCTGGGACTGGAACCAGGGAGAGGTCAAGGAGGACAATTTTACCATTTATTTTAGACACTTGCATATGATTTGATTTTTATTCATGATGTGAAGATATTATTTTAAAATAAAAGTAAAAATAATACTCCTGAGTTTATGAGGAACATGCATTTGGAATGGCATTATGACATACTGGTGCCTGTACTGACTCATTCTCTGCAAACAACCAAAATTCTAGGTAAAATAGAAACAAAACATATTCACAAATGCTTCGAAGATTTAGAAAGAGAGGAGTACACAGGCTAAGTTAAGGAGGGACCCAGAGTGGCAAGTAGAGCACTGAAGCCAGCTGTCACCCTGAGGACATTTGCCAAACTAGGTGACCTTGAGTTTTAATTTGTATAGCCTCAGAGACCTCCAGAGAATGAAAGAGAGCCTAAGACTCTCTCACAGTGATTAGCCTCAAAAAGATTCTTAATACAGTTAAGACTCCAGAGGGCAACCTAGGCAGGTTAGGAGTGAAATGCAAATAAATCTCCCCTTCTTACACACCAAAGGACTTTAAGGAAGATTGTTAGTGTTGAACTTTTTGGTGTTGAATGTGTGTTAGGGGAATCACCCCTGAGATCCTGTTACATTTCACCTTCATTTAATGGTTACAGATATTAATGAAATGAATTTTATTAATAAAAATAAGAGCTAATGCTTATAATGTGCTTGTTCTATGCCAGGGACCATTTCAAATGTGTATTAACTCACCTGAGTACTATAATAATGGCCATCTTTAAAAATGTGGAAACTGAGTTTAAAGTCTAAATGGCAGTCAGAATTCACACCGAGGCAGTCCATCAATAGAATCCACTCTTTTTTTTTTTTTTTTTTTTTTAGAATCCACTCTTTTAAGGGTCTTTCTGTGTTACTCCCCTTTGGGCTGAAGAATTAGGCTTAACTAAAATAAATATGACAATAAAATAAATATGACAATATAGTAAATGATTTTTGTGATTTAAAACAAAAGAGATATGACTGTAAAGATCTCAGACATTATTATAAGGGATAGAACTTTTTTTTTGAAATGCAATTTCTGTTTAGCAGAAACTGATGAGGATTCAGCGTCATGAAACAGTAGTGAAGTTAATAACTTTCCTCTAGTCATTCAGACCAAAAATTAACTAATGACTATTTAGTGAAAAATCACTGGAAGAATTTGATGTACTTTCTT